TGTTTTGTTTTGTTTTTAGATTTTTTTGTTTGTTTTTAGATTTCACAGAAAGGTGGAATCACATGGTATTCGTCTTTCTCCAGGACCCTCTAGGTCAATCCATCTTGTAGCAAATGGCAAGCTCTCATACTTTTCATGGCTGGTAATATTCCAGTGTGTGTGTGTGTATGTGTGTGTGTGTGTGTGTGACCTTCTTTATCCATTCATCTATTGATGGACACTTGGGTTGCTTCTCATATCTTAGTTATTATAAATAATGCTTAAACAAACACAGGGGTGCAATATTTCTTTGAATTAGTGTTTTCACTTTCTTTGGGTAAGTACCCCATAGTGGAATTATGGGTGAAAGGTAGTGGGAGATACAGGCTTCCAGTTATGGAATGAATAAGCCACGGGAATAACAGATGCAGCATAGGGAATATAGTCAATGGTATCGTAATAGTGTTGTATGTGATAGATGGTGGCTATACTTGTGAGCACAGCATAATCTATAAAGTTGCTGAATCACTATGTTGTACACCTGAAACTAATGTAAATTGTGTTAACTATACTCAAAAAGAAGCTGAAGTCAATAAAGTTGAAGCTGAAGTCTGATAATGTTAAGGTATATATTATAGGCCCTAAAGAAATCAGTTAAAAAAAAAAAACAAAACTCAAAATGTCATTGAAAGTTATGACAGAAATTAAAATATTATACTATAAAATATCTACTTAATATAAAAGAAGACAATGAAAGGAACCAAGGACTAAAAAAGACATGAGACACATAGAAAACAAAAAGAAAAATGTCAGGTGTAAATCCAACCATATCAATAGTAACTAAGCATGAATGGTTTAAACAATTCAATCAAAAGGCATACATTTTCAGAGTGAATTAAAAAAAAACAGGATCCAACTATATACTGTCTACATAAGAGACACTTTATATTCAAACATGCAAATAGGTTGAAAATAAAAGGATAAAAAAGATGTACAATGAAAACAACTATCATAAAAGAGAATGCAGGTCAGTGGGTTAAGTCTCTGCCTTCAGCTCAGGTCATGTTCCCAGAGTCCTGGGATAGAATCCTGCCTGCTTCTCTCACTCCCTCTGCCTGCCACTCTGCCTGCTTGTGCTTGCTCTCTCTCTCTCTCTCTCTGACAAATAAATAAATAAAATCTTTTTTTTAAGTATTTTTTAAGACTTTATTTATTTGACAGAGAGAAATCAGAAGTAGGCAGAGAGGCAGGCAGAAAGAAAGGGGGAAGCAGGCTTCTGTTGAGTGGAAATCCACAGATTTTTTAAGATTTTATTTATTTGAGAGAGAGATTGAGGTCACAAGTATGCAGAGAGGCAAGGAGAGAGAGAGAGAGGGAAGCAGGCTCCCCGCTGAGCAGAGAGCCTGATGTGGGGCTCGATGCCAAGACCCTGAGATCATGACCTGAGCTGAAGACAGAGGCTTAAACCACCGAGCCACCCAGGCGCCCCTAAATAAATAAAATCTTAAAAGAGAGAGAGAGAGAATGCAGTGGCTATACTAACAGCAGAAAACCGATATTAAAACAAACAAAAAAAAATCTAACTAGAAATAAAGAATCTTCTCTTTCTTAAGATGATAAAGGGATAATTCTTAAAGATGGTATAACAGGGGTAAGCATATATGCGTGTAAGAACAGAGGTCGAAATACATGAAGCAGAAACTGACTGAAAGGAGGGACAGACAATTCCTGAATAATGGCTAGAGATTTCAACACCCAACTTTCAATAATGTGTATAGCAACTAGGCAGAAGATGAAAAAGGAAATGTAAGAATTAAACAATGGTAAAAACAAACAAACAAGACCTAACAGACATCTCTAGCATATTCAAAAGAAAGAACACAGAGAACATTCTGCAGAACTGATCCCATGCTGGGACATAACATAAGCCTCAGTAAATCTAAAGGAGCTGAAATCAGTCAAAGTATGTTTTTTCAAACACAAGGAATGAAATCAGAAATCAGTATTAGAAAGTTTGAGAAATACATACAAATGTGGAAATAAATAAAAACACTTTTAAATAACCAAAGTTCTGAAATTAACCCTTACATTAATGGCTAATTGATTTTGAACAATAGTGCCAAGAAAATTCAATGGGAAAATATTAGTCTTTTTACAAATGATACTAAAGCAAGTGAATATATCCATATGCAAAATAGTAAAGCTAGACTTCACACCTTACAGGATACGCATACACACACACACACTCTCTCTCTCTCTCTCTCTCTCTAAATGGATCATAGACCTGAATGTAAGATGTAAAAACTATAAAACTCTTAGAAAATATGGGAGTAAATATTCATGTCCTTAGATCAGCAATGGTTTTTTAGTACAACACCTAAAGCACAGGTAATCAAAGTAAAAGAGACAAACTGAGAATTCAGGCTCCATTTTTAACTGCTGAGTTCTTACAGAATACAGAACTCCATTTCAAGGTCTCTGTAGGCTTTGAATACACCATTTTGTACCTCTTTCTCCTTCATCATTAATCATTTTAGAAAAGTTCTTCAAACATCAGTGGTGTTCGGTCCCTGTCAATCACTGCTCATGTTCAGCACTACCAATAATACAACTAAAATACTTTTTAATGTAATAACTACAATAAAATGATAATGAAAAATGTTTTCATTTGAATAAATCTGTGAAATCATAACCTTTAATATTGGCTGTAAGAGAGAGGGAACACATATGGAGAGAATAACTTTACCAAAAAAAAAGGAAATTTTCGGATACTCTCGGGTCACAATAATTTCAAAATCACTGAACAGTAGAAGTGGAAACCCTCCATTAAATTCCTCTTAATCACTGAGATGGAACTTAGAGTAATATGACAAACTGACTACAAAAAGGCTTTAAAAGGATAAAGAGTTCTTCGGTAAGTTGGGAGATCAGGCTTCCAGTTCCGGAATGAATAAATCATAGGAATAAAAGGTGCAGGGCATATAGTCAGTGGTATTATAATCATGCTTGGGTGATTAAGACATTTTGCAACACTTTGTCAGGTTTAGACTTTTATTAATTCATTAAATGGGATTCCTTATGCCTATTACTTCTCACTGCTCAAACACCCACATTTCTGTGTAACTCTTCTGTGACACTGGACACAATTTACCTTAAACTGGACTGGAGGACCTCCTTGAATGCTTCATAGCTTTGTCTTTGCTGATTCACTGTTTTCCATCACAATCTCCCCTTGCCAAATACCTAATACAAGACTACGCGTATAGTACGGGATACATAACATAGTCTTGTACAGAGAGAGACAGAGAGGGAGGGAGGGAGAGGGAGGGCAAGCACGTGACAGCCATCAATTACTATTTACTAAATGAATGAATGTCTGACTGAGTGAATTAGCGATTACATTCTCCTTTGCCCTGAACCACGTCTCTCACATTTTCACAGAAAGATCAAAAGAAGGCTTTTTTCTTTAACATAAATTCTACAGTCTTATTTCCATCAACATCAATCAAGTAATGTCCAAGGCATTCCAGTTGGCTAGCTAAGTATATTTGTGTTATAGTTCAAAGAAACTGGTGCCTCCAAATTTCTCAGCTATATTCAAAAAAATGAATGTAAAACGCCAGTAATGTTGTGCTACGTCCTTAGTTTTTATTTGACATTTCAGTGGGTTTCCTCTTACGTAATAAGAGATGAGGTTTCTTGCATTAGGATTCTTCTAAACTCAACAAAATAAGATATTACTCCCCAATACTTTGTGTTTTAATATAAAATGGAAGGTTTAAACTCTCCATTTTTATTTCATTTAATCCCTTAAGCCCTTAAACCTAAAGCACATTATTTCTTCAAAAATTTAAAGTATTATCCCCAGATATCATAAGACAAACACACACATAATATATCTGAATTTACTCACCACCTAAAGTACATCGTGTATGTTTAGAGATACATACAAAATTTATTTTTTTTTACTCGTCTACCAGGGATTATTTCCAGACATATTGTTTTGTCTAGATCTTCATCAACTGTTTTCCAGTTGCAGGGAACACTGCATGTATGTGTGTTGCCCAGCAGTGTAAGCACTGTGTGAGCACATAATTGTGCTTGAGGTGTGTAAGCCCGCCAGGACTACACAACCACATTTCAATAAATATTAGCTAATGTCATGGAGAAGGCAATCTTTAAAACACATCAACAACGTGTGGGTGTGTCTGTGTGTGTGCCTGCACACACGTGCAGAAGCGCGTGCACGCGTGAGTGTAGAAAGGGCTTGAAAAACAGCTTTGTATTTTGGGGTGATTCTGACACTTACTATATGAATTTTGAAGGAATTTTTTTCCAGATGCTTAGATAGTTTGCCAGAATGTGCTAAAAAACCAAATCGCCTGGAGAACATGAGCTAGCCTAGAGATTAATAAAACCTCCAACTTCACAGGCTCCGCAAATGATGATATGAAAACAACAGATAATTTGAAGCTATCAAATATTTCAATACTTCGCTCTGTTTGCTTCTATGACATATTTATCCCATACGAAAGATTTGCTAAAGGAGTTGTAATGGCCTTCTGGGACAGGAAGAAGAAGGTTTCTGTAGAAAATGTTAAATTAATTTTGATGGTGATACAAAGTTAAGGAAGGGTTGTTAAGGGATGGCTTGCTGCCACGGGGTGGGGTTTTGTTTTGGTATCCTTTTAGAGCCTGCAGGTGTTTGGCACTGGCTAAAATCAGGGCCAGCTGTGATATTTCAGTTCTGATACTTCCCTCCCAATAGTTCTCAGAAGTCATGCTTCGGGGTGATGTCTTACACCTGATGGATTCAACTTGTGTGGTAGAAATGTGAAGACAGTTAAATAACACCAGTTTGGCGACACCCGCTGCCCTCTCTTCCCCACCCATGGGTCATGGCATCAAGGAGGAAAAAAACAAAAAAAAAACAAAAGCAAAACATTAATCAGAGATTCAGTCATTCATATCTATGTATATTTTATTTGCTCAGTTCAGTCGAAGAATATACTTAGAATCACCAGATACACGATCTTAAGCAAAATACAAAAAACAGGATCACACAATCTCTTTTGATTCTCATGGTAGATAATGATGCTGTTAACTGCTCTCATTGGTGGGATCCATACCTATTTTTACAGGAATCTGAAGAGTTTCTATTAAAAGCTGCATTTTCTTTTAAGTTTGTTTGGGTTGGAAAACCTCAAACCACAATGCATTTCATGCACATGTTCCCCAGGGTATGTTAAATAGGACCATACTGAGGTCATCTAGCAAGTTTTTTAAACTTTTTAAGAATTCCTTTAATGTACTGCACAATCTTGGCCTGGTTAAAAAAAGATATTTTAAGAGAGCACTTAAAAAATGACTCTTAAAATCTACATGCAGATAATCAATATTACTCAGTTCTACAGAATACACAGAATTTTCCACAGATAATTTATCACCGAGGGAGAAAAGCAATAAAACTACCACTAAAAGGCTTTTGGATCAAAATTTCCCTAAGCTCTCCGTAAATACAGACCAAAACCCGCACAGTATTCTTGACTGACTTAACAGTGGACGCTTGGAGGATCCTTCCAACCTTTCAGCATCTGCAGCAGATAATTAGAGGCTCAAAGGTAGACAACCTCTCATCTATCCAAGAAAAAAAATAAATCATCTGCTCCTTCAGCTGAGCCAAAAAATCAAGTTTCCTCAGAACATGAGGCCACGATGAAATTATTTAGGTTAGAAATAGTTTCTACCATCACGTACATTTTTGTTGCCGAGGGAGCCCAAACCACAGATGAAAGGTGAATGGCCCACTGGATAAGCAGGCCCCCAGAAAATCCTCTCTTGCACTTGGATGCTTCTGATTGTTTTTTTTCTTTTTGGTTAGACATACCCCTCTTCACTTCATCAAAGCCCCACTGCCGGCGCCAAGTTCCAGGCCCTGTGCTTCACCCAAATCAATTTCCAGTTAGCTGCGGCAGCGCATGCGCGCGGGGAGCCAGCCACGGGCCAGCCGCGCGGTCCCATGTCTGAGCGCGAGGGGCCGGTTCCGTGCACCCGGAGCCAAGAAGCTCTGCAGCTCATGGGGGAAAAACAAGGGAGGACACCTTAAACGGAAATGACACGTTTACGGAAAACAAAAAATAAGAGGGTTTGCAGCAATCAGGAATGATGAGGGCTGAAGAGTTCCTGGCACAGAGTGCGCGGATGCCTTTTTTTTTTTTTTTAAAGAATATTACAGCTTGATTTGTAAGCCAGGGATCCCCGGCCCCACTGCCGCACTGAATTTGTTTGTAGCCACCAAACAAAGGTGTTTTTTAAACAAAAACATAACCTTTAGCAAAGGTCTCCACCAAAGAAGGTTTTGCTTTTTTTTTAACCAAAATATTACAGTAAATAAGGGTACGATCATAACCGGAGCTAATACCGGGTCTTGGACCTTTACCTCTGGCAAACCCTGCTGTCCTTGATAAACATTATCTCACGTAACAGGACAGTATAGAGAAAAGATCCTATTACACCACTTTACAGTTGAGAAAACCGAAGCCCAGTAAGTTTATAAAACTGCCCAACAGCTAGGACTCCAGGGTCTTAACCATTATGCAGCGCTTTTCAACACAAGTTTTCCAAATAAAGGCTATACAAAGAGGTTGTCAGCCCCACCACTGGGAGCACAATAGCCCCTCCGTCATTTGGAAAACCTATATTTGGCAAGTTAACCAACTCATTCATTCACTGATTCATACATCAACAGCATTTACTCTCTATCTGCCATCTAAGTCGATTTTAAATTTATTTTTTCAGAAAGGAAGAGAATTACTAAAGTCATGCTAAATCCCTAGCACTTGGTACATAAGTACAATAAAGGTTTGGCAAATGAATTTTTTTAAGTAGTCCAAAAACATAACTCCCTGATTTTTTTTTTTTTTTTGCATTTTACATTCCTTCCAATATTCAAAATGATAAGGAGTTCTTTTTAAAAGAGCCAAGTGTCCTTACCTCTTGGGCCAAACAGTTCTACACACAATTGCCAGAGTCATCCGTGTTAATTTTTAAAATGTAACAATACTACATTGCTCTCTAGTCTTTCTAAAACTCCAGATAAGTTTTATGTGCACGTTTGGTATTTTAAACTGCAAAGAATGAGATTATATATTAAAGAGACCAACTCTACTCTTGGAGCTTGGGTACAACTGTCAGTAATTATCACTGGATGATTAAGAATTTTTGATATTAGAATGGTATCAGTTAGAATCTACTTTTCGGTGGATAAGAATGCAATTTTCAGAGACTCCTGGGGTAGTAGCAAAAGTCAGTATCCCGGCTGAGGTAACAGCAATCTTTTCCATTTGAAAAATGACTGAGTGCTAAAAATATACCATAGACCAATATTAGAAACTACTGCGGGTCCAAGAGTTGCCATAGAACGATTAAAGTAATGAACCGAACTACAAGGGAAAAGTGGGAATGAAAATCCTACTATCCTATATTCAATCTGAAGCAGCCCATAAGGTGAACAACTTGAAGGGTGGAACCTTGGTTCCTTGTTCATCAAAACCTAGACAATAGGCAATGTTAGAAGATACCCAGAGATTTTTAAAATAACATTCTTTACCTTGGTGTCTTTGTGCCTGAAGAAACACAGGTTGAATGATGGAAATGCCGATGATAAAACTCTCAGCAATGATCTCTAGAGAAAGGTGCCCTCAAACCGAGTTAAACGCCAAATCCTACACAGCTGGTACCACTTTTCAATAGGAAAATAATAGTAAAATCCACCCCTTCCCCCACAACTTAGAGCCAAAGCTTGGCCTCATTCGAAGCTACAATGTGAGAAAACTGGTCCTCTGGGTCTGGTACATTTCAGAGCATGCGCACTGCAGCCCCGGGACAAGGAGGCATGGATCTCCAGACATTAACCCGCTGATGCAGCGAGGACCTGGTCACATAAACTCACTATGTATCCAGCGTATCCAGCGGGCCCCCTTATCTCAAATACTTATCGGCCATTGTTTTATTCCGGACAAAGCCTTGCCACATTCAGGATCTTGGCAGGAAGAAAACACAAAGCAGAATTTCTGAATCCATTCATTTTTTTTCTCCAGTAAATAATTGTCAACATTGAATTAAATACATGTCAATTCTCCTTGCAGTTCTCCTTCTACTCATGTAGAAGATAGGTACCAAAGTTAAAGAGTTAGGTCAGTTTTCAACAAAGTTCTCCTCCCTTAGAAAAATCATCTTCCATTTTCAGTACTTCATTTCAAAGAAAAATCGGTTACAATATAAAGAATCTTTTCAGGCCTATAATTTTGAAGAGTTGGAAGCTGCTAAGATATATGAATAATCATAGTGAAAGCTTCATAGAAAAATGGGGTTCCTCTACCTTTTGGGATTAATATGCGACTCTGAGAAACAGTAAATTGCTTGCAGTTATACTGATTAAAGTAATAAATCAAAAATTTTTGATAGCATCTAAAAAATTTGAACAATGTTACAGAAAAAAACTCATTTTTTTCAGGTGATCCTTATTCCTGGGGCCCAAGAAGAAGTCTATAAGAATTGTATAGTACAAACCTCTATTTGAAGTAAGATTGATTCTTCACAAATAATGTACTTTATTAATCAAAATATATAAAAGCCTCCCGTTTGCAAAGTTAACTCTGACTTGCTTTGGACACTTTAAGATAGCCATCTGGTAAGATGTGGGCTCTAACTAAAAACTATACAAACTATATAACAACTATAAAAGCTGTCATACTTCCTTCTACACAGAATGTTCTCTGAGGGCTTGAGCCCAATCTCTCAATTGTCTACATTTCCGATTTTTCAGGAGAAACAAATGTCCTGAACTTGCAAACTTTATGTAGTGACTGCTGCAGAAATACGTTAGATCTGATGGGTCTGACTGTAGACAGCCAGTTCTAAGTTGATTCTTTTTACTTCAGACTCACAATCTAATGCCACCATCAAAAATCACATTATGTGACGGAAGCCCATGACCAATGGCTCACGTGTATTTATGTGAATCAAACTGGATAAAGAAAGAGAGGCAATGTCTTGTGTTTTCAACTGCCATGTACTAAAACGTTCAAAAACCAAACCTGGGGTTCTGCAAATACGTTCTTCATGTCGTTGATTGGGCCATACGCAACCCCGCTGCCTTCGAAGAGGTATAACCACTTGCTGGTCATTTCTTCTTCAAACCTAGGAACAGACCCAAAAAAGAGGCATTTTTTACAAAGAATGTAACACAACATTTTTTCTCATATGGCCCTCTTTTGAAGCAACCAATAATGACAAGAATATGTTCCTTGAGTTTTCTTTGTTCCTAGTTTTGAGGATGTTGCCTAATAGAAACAACTTGACTTGCCCAGGAGTGGTTAAGAATAACCACCCGGCTCCCATTGTTGGAAGGTCTACCATTAGAGATATAATCCTTCCTACTTCTGTCCCTGTGTGCTTTTTGACAGAGGATCCCTTGCAGAAGACACAGATTGTGTGGGGAATGATTTTAACTGAGCTTAAATTGCTGTGGTATTGAGCACTTTATAAATACAATAATATAATTGCAATTGGGAGGGGATGTCATTGTGCAGTGTTTTTTAGGTCTCAGGCATAGTAGTACATGAGTTTAAGGTAAATTTCTCAAAACAAAAACAAATGTAGTTGTTTTAAAAGAAAGCTATATGTTTGGGGTGCCTGGGTTGCTCAGTCAGTTAAGCGACCAACTCTTGATTTCAGTTCAAGTCATGATCTCAAGGTCCTAGGATCAAGCCCCGCACTGGGCCCTCCACTCGGGAAGAAGTCTGCTCTCACTCTCCCTCTCTCTCTCTCTCTCTCTCTCTCTCAAATAAATAGTCTTTAATTTAAAAAAGAGAAATATATATGTTCTACCTCCATTATATTTAAAATATACCAGAATTAACAGCCGCAACACAACTTTAGCTACTTATTTGCACTACTACTTACTAATCAGAACAAATCTAGGCATGTGAAGACGGATATATATCTGTTTAGACAGCAACACTCAAATCCAGCCAAGTCCTTTTCCTTTGTTTTGTTTTTTCTGTAATTTACATTAGACTTCACAGATAAAAAGCTTATCTGAGTGACTTTGTTTTCTCTCTTAGGTGTCAAGGAAAGGGGACCTAATTCATTGATGAGATTCACCGTTTTATACCTCCTCTTGTTAAGACAGTGGAACAGAAGTAAAATCTTGGATCCTCAAAGACAACTCAACAGTCATAATTTGTAATATACGAAGAATATAGAATCACTAATTTTTAAAATAGCAAACTATTTCTAGTTAAGTAATTATCTAGGTGAAAAGAGATTTTTTAAAAAACATTAGGTAAAATAGACTATTGGCAGCAAGCAGAAGGCTTATGGGCGGGCAAGTGGAAATACAGTAGAAATAGTATTCACGGACTTCACTCAGCAATCTTAGACATAACTAGAATTAATCTTAGGTGTGCAGATGCCACGGGAAATTATAATGGAGAATGCACTATTTCTTCCACCGTTTACAACAAGGGTGGCAACAATATCAGTACTTAGAGGACACTTTTCTAATCTCACCATTTTGATGAATAAAGATTTTCCATTGTCCATTTTAATAACAGGCGATAATGTTAACTATGCCTACTTAGTACACAATCAAATACTTCACCTCTGCATACTGAAAAGCATTCTCTTACGGGAACACCACCATGCAAGATGAAATGTCTTATATTAGTTGATTCTTCACAACCTTATTTTTTTTTTTAAGGACTGTTAAAATCATCTCCTGGCCAAGACTTCCTAAGACATATATATCACCAGAATGATATAGGCTGAAAGAATAAAAGAGATACTTTGAACCTGGAGCCCTTTCAATCTGGGTGTCAATCATTTAAGTTTCCATAAGCAGAGCATTATCGTGGCTAACCTGATAAATTTTCAAGACAAGTGAATTTATCACCACCGGACTCACCCAAGTGGCCTCAAAGATCTGCACAGAAAATGCGTGTCAAGATCCCAACAAACCCATAGCTGCAGGCCTGCCAACAGAAAACTCAGGGGAATAGTTGAAGTTTTAGTATTTATATAAGCTTTTCACCACTGGGCAAGAGAGGGGGATTTATTTCATGTTATGGAAAACAACAGATGCACTTTGGAAATGAGACTGGGGAGCGAGACAGTGTCTGGAGCTGCAGTGGTGACCACTGTTTGTGGATGTGCGTGGGCGTGGGCGTGGAAGTGTTCATAAATGCCTTCAACTCGAGCGGCCAGAGACAGAACATTGCAGCATTCTGCTGCTCCCAGAGGACGCATCCATCATTTTCTTCTGAAATCTATCTCTTGATCTAAATCTGATGTGGAATCTTTTCCTTTATCTATACAAAAAAGCTGAAAGCACATATTTTTATTAACCACAAAAATGCTGCTTAAAAAAAAAAATGGAAAGAGCTGTTCTAAATCACTTAGGGCAAAACAGTACTGAGGATAAGACAGGAAGGGTGTCCTTCCATGCAGTGTAGGAAGCCTCAAAGCTTCGGCCTCCTCTGGGCAGTTACTTGGAAAACTCTTAAAACAAGTCAGACTTCATTGTGAACTTGCTAAATCAACCCATATAGTCAATTTTAGATTTTTGCTGAATTCAATTCCTGTCAAGTGACTCATTTAGGAAGATGTAACATTAGTACGTAAAGATGGACCTGAGTTTAAATTTCTTAGCATCAAAATGTTACTTAAAGAACAAACAAAAAACTTCTCTTTAGAGAATGGATTAAAGCTGCAGCCAAATCCAACACAAGAGAGAAACTAAGAGATAGAGACTGTAGAGTTGGAAATAATTCTAACATTAATGATTACTAAATGCTGGTTACCATGTCTTGTAGCTTTTCTCCTCACGAGGACATTGTAAGGGAAGTATTATTCTCATATGACCAAGAAGAAATTCAGGTTCAGAGAAATTAACTCGCTGAAATTCATAAAGCTTCCCCCCCTCACCATACTTTTTTGAGGCATGACAGGCCAATAAAAATTGTATATATTTACTTTGTACAGCATGGTTTTTTAGAGTGCAGTGCAGTGATTTAATACAATACACATCATGAAATGATTACCACAATCAAATTAATTTACACATCCTTTACCTCATGGTTACCATTTGTGTGTGTGTGTGTGTGTGCGTGTGTGTGCGTGTGTGCGTGTGTGTGTGCGTGTGTGTGGTAACATTTAAGATCTACTTAAGAACATTTAAGTGTGAAATATGGCATTACCTCCAGTGACTGATTCTCAGAATTTTTTCATCTTATAACTGAAAGCTGGTACCCTTTGCTCAGTTTCTCACCATTTCCCCCACACCCTAGTGCTGGACAACCACCATTCAACAGTCCGGTTCTGTGAGTTTGACTTTTTAGAGTCCACACATCAGTGAGATCAATGCAGTATTTGTATTTCTGTGTCTGGCTTATTTCACTTAGCACTTCCATCCTCTATAGCTCAAGATACATCTCCTTACACTAATACTCATTCATTCCTGATGCTTTTTGCAAAAGTTTGTTCTGTCCCAGACATGGGGATTACAAAAATAAAAACGTCCCTGTTTTCAAAGATCATACAGTCTAACGGAGAACACCGCTAAGGAAATTGATGATTTACGGTGCAAGACGCCGGGACAAAGATGAGTGTCCAGCCTACAGCTGAGTACCAAAGCAGGAGACCTGAACTGGGCCTGGGGAGTGAGGAAAGAGTTCAAAAGCCAGGTGACATTTGAGCCAGCTGGCTGAGGGATGAGTTAGCATTTTCCATGTGGAAGATGGAAAGAAGGGTTTTCCAGAGAGAGCAATGTGTACAAAGACCCAACCTGGAAAAATTCTGAAATCTCCTGTGCCCTGAGTGGCAAAGGATAAAATGGGAAAAGAAGGTTAGAACAAGAGTGCAAGGCATCTTGTCTGCTATGCTAAGGATATTGCTTTGCCACTGGCCATGAGACACCCAGAGAGGTCTTTCAGTGGGGGGCTGGCATAATCGGTGTTAATACAGGGAATGGAAGAATCCAGATGAGACAACAGGCAAAAAAACTTGACGGGAGGCAACAGACTCTCTCCATCTGATGCATCTTTAAATCTCCCCTTCTATCAATATCTTCCATGTTATTGTCAATAATAAACAAGTCTTGGGGGCACCTGGGTGGCTCAGTCAGTTAAGCATCTGCCTTGCGCTCAGGTCATGATCCCGGGGTCCCAAAACTGAGCTCCACATTGGGCTCTCTGTTTGCTGGGGACTCTGCTTCTCCTTCTGCCATTTATCCTGCTCGTTCTCTCTTTATCTCAAATAAATAAATAAAATCTTTCAAATAATAATAACAATTTTTCATTAAAAAAAAGTTTTCTGGACATTCTTAGCTCTTTTGTTCCTATCCTATTTTCCATTTCCAGTCTGCTACGACTGCCTGAGGCTCTGAAATTTGACTTGTACACCAACACCTTTTCTTGCCCGATCACCAAGGGTCTTCGGGGACCATTCCCCAATATTCTTTTCATAGTCCTCATCCTCTATGTTCTTTGTGCATTTGATCCTGTTGACTATCCTATCTTTATATCCTATGCTATTGTACTTATTGGATTTTTAATACCTCTGTGGCCATTTCGGTTTCTTTTATTAATTATTTTACCTTTTTCTTCCAGTCTCAATTTCCTTTGTTCTCTTTTACTCATCTCAGTAATCCTGTCATCTCCATGCGGATGATACCCAAATCTATTTTCAGCCCTAACCCTCCCCAAGTCCCTCTTCCTAGCTACCATGGGGTACTTCTACTTAGATCCACTATCACCCCCATAAATACGACATGCCATAGATGACTAAGACTTCCATTTTCCCCATAAACCTTGTATTTCTCCCTTGCCTGAATTCACACTCTTGGCTAAATTGGGAACTCTTTCTTTTCATCACCTCCTGTAATTTACACATCATTGGCCTGTAGAATCAACTTTTCAACAGTGAAGTTTTATTTATCTAGTCCCACTGTTCCTACCACAATTCAAGTCCCTTGATTCTTCCCACTTGAACTATAGCAACAGTTGATTAAAACTTATTGCCTCCCAAGGGAAACAAGGGCAAAAATGAGCCATTGGGACTTCATTGAGATAAAAAGATTTGCAAAGCAAAGGAAACGGTCGACAAACCAAAGACAACCTACAGAATGGGAAAAGATTATT